TGTAGATTAACAATCAATTTTCATATATTCGAATAATAAGATAAATTGAAAAGCTTGTGAATCGTCTTGACTGGACGAAGGCTCAAACCAAAGCCCGAGTCCAAGCGCAGATAAACTCGAGCTAAAAATGTTTGAATCCGATACCAAGCCTTGAGGTTGAGCTCGTGAGCTAGCTCGACTCGGCTCAACTCATTGCCACTACTAGATCACAATCATTTAGGACCAGTAGGTTTTAGTCAAAATACGGATAAAAATAACAACCAAAACAAATATAATCTCACTAATTTCGATTTAATATATCCATCAAACTATTATTCCAATCAACCCAATATTATACAATATATGAAATCTGTGAACTATTTCAGAATCACATATCTATAGAAATGAAATAATGCAATAAATCTTTGCCAACTGAATCAAATATAAACCATTGTTCAAGATTTACTAACTTTTCTATGGTTATAAGATTTCCCCTGCCTTGTGTTTGGCTTAGAGGTGACAAGATGTTGTATGTTCTTCACTACTTTACTATAACTAAGACTTCTATAGAATCCAAACCTAATTCGAACATTACACTGTCAACCAGTTTGATATATTCACAATTATCTTGTACTCAAACTAAGATGCGTTGACACCGAACGTACTCCATAATTGCAAAAATATCTCAGAAAGGTAAATAATTAGTCACTCCATGACTGAAACATTTATAAGCAAAAATTGAACATCAGGTTGCTGTGGCAATAATATTACATGTCAAAGTTTATTGTATTTAAATATTATTGATAACAAATTGTTAATACATATATTGTGACCATGTGATGTTACAATCAGTTCATCAAACATTATTGATAACAATCAATAATACACATCTTATCAAGTTTGTGACTGATGCACTTAGCTACGACTTTGAACATCCAAATTGGAAATCAAATTGATATCAGATTGATTACACATTGCCAATATTAGAAATGACGCAGAGAGTAACATGACCAGAAATAACACATCAACATTACCTAATTTGAGGGTTCTTCCTTTTTTTTTGTTTTTTTAATGCAGTTATTACAACAAGCACATATAGGTCACAAAATACTTCATAAAATCTTCAAATCGTGCAGGCAATATCAAAATTATGACATCATAGTTATAGAAAAATTGTGGAAACATCAACATTCACAAACTGCGTTTGTGACCAGCACAGATATGGAGAAATGATTTTGGTATTAAAAAAATTTCACAATGACAGACAAACAGTGTCACATTTAAATACATTCAAATCACTTTGATTGCACCTTAATAACACCCAATGTCTGACTTTTTGACATTCACAAATGACACCAAATTAAAGGGCAATTTGAAATCACATACCTATATGAAATCAAATAATTAGAACTGTTAAGAGGAGCAATTTTTCTACTCCAATCGTTATGACTGAGGAAGGAAATTAGTGCTTTGTGACTCCAAACCAGAAGTTGTAAATTTGTAAGCTAAATGGGGTTGACGGTGGCATATAATGTAGGCTCAAGAATTTGTGACTTCATACCAAAAATTCATCTTGTCAATATGTAGAACATGACATAATTGTTACCGAATGAGTGAACTTATGAGAGTTTGATTGGGGTTTCTATCCATCTTTGGGAGGTGATCGGTGATGCGGTATCAGATCAGCTGAAGGGAGATATTAAAATTGATTATTATATATGAACATTTCAGTTTTCTTTAATTAAGTAATAATTTAGTGCCTGTTTGGGCGCCATTAATTACACATTTTAATTAAAAATATGAATGTTGTAACAGTATGCTTGAACTTGATCTAACCGCAATATTTGGAAAAAGAATGGCAGCCGTCATTTTCTATTTTGAAATGTCAAAATTGTCTCACTTAAGAATATTGAATGCAACAAGTTAGGGGCATCATGATCTTTCTCTCAAAATTTTTAATTGATGGCAGATAAAACAGAAGTATAGTTGCCGCAGTGGGGCCCGATGATTGTATAACGGTCAGATTCTTAATAAATAAAAAAAAGGTTGTACCTCAACTTTGAGGGTCCCCACCGCCTTGCCCCTAGAGCTTTGTGAGGGAGGTAAATCGCGGGATGTGCTCCAATAGGTCAGGGAACAAGAGTCGCATGTACATTGTGCCAACAATGAGTCCAATTACATGTCTTAGGAATCGAACTCTCACGCTGCAATCGCCAGCAAAGAGTGAGATCTCACTTCTGTTATTTGCACCACTGGACTATGCTCCAAGGGACGGATTCTTAATTATAATTTTGGGAGAAAGGTGCACAAACAAGGGATTAATTAAATTATTTTGACATCTTTATTTATTAATTAATTTTTGGAAGAAATCCTTAAGTTTGTCAAATTTGAAAATGTATCCTATGAGGCAGGTAGTTATATATTATTGTCAATGATTAATGGGAAAATTACATGGCAACATGTGTTTAAGAAATACAATTCATAAATCGGGTTTGAAATTTTATTTGTGCAAATATAAGGTATTAATCTAATTATAAAACCACCTACCCCCAATAGTCCTATCCCCAAACCCTAATTATTTCCTCTCACAATTCTTTGTCTACATCCCTCTCCCTTCCTTCTTCATTGTCGAAGACGATACCACACTAGAGACGACTTTAGCGTGACACCAGCATTAGGCGATCACATTTGTTCCTTAAGTACATTTGTGCCTTCGACTGTAGTACACGTATCGGAAGACAAGGCGGTACCACTGGAAGACGTCACTGAGAGACACTGAGATATTGGTGTATATTTTGTTGTTCGCAGTGTTTTAGAACCGAACCGAACCAAAATTTTTGGGTATCTAGTAAATGGAATCGTTGGGTCCAAATATAATTATGGAACCGTTCGGGTTCGGTTCCGTTTGGTTCTGTGTTATAATTAAAATTTTTAACATTTATAACAACATTATATAAATTCAACTAATGATACATTCAATGATTTTGGAATGTCAGAGACTAATAGACTACATTGTTTAAATGATCGCTACGGTCAAAGTTTCGGTCGGCGGAGGTTATAACTTCGATCAGAGGTCACAGTGTCGGCCGACGATTGTATATGTTTTGAAATATTAGTGAGGTTGTGAGAGTGAGTGCGAGAGTCGAGATAATGTTATGCACTTTAGTATAGGTGTTTAGGGTTATTTAGTGGATTAGATCTTATTGGGCTAATAAATGAAACAATAAAATGGGTAATTGGACCAAAAATTAAAAAAATTAGAAATGAAACAAATTATTGGGCCAAAAGTTTGGATTTAGAAATTGTTAATTTGTTTAGAAAAAATTAAAACTAAAATAATTTGATTTACTAAATATAAAAAAAATTAGAAAGATTCGGTTCTTATTTGGTTTTTGGTTTAGAACCGAAAATCGAACCGTACCTGTTGGTTCTCAATTCAAATACCCTTTCGGGTATTTAATTTGACAAGAACCGTCGGGTTCGGTTCAGTTCGGTTCGGATTCGATTCGATCGGTTCGGTTCAGGAGATTTGCCAGCCCTAGTGTCAAACGACAATGTTGAGGCTGCTGCGAACTCAAGAGAGAGTTGCCCAGTATGCTGTAGAAAATTTGGTGATTTTCGATTGCTAGCAGCAGAGAAAATTTGAGAAGGTAATTTGGGGTTGTTGGGGGTGATTTCATTCTCCTTTCGATCTAATCTGCTTAGCAGGAGCCACTGTGTATATGTGCCTTCTCCATTGTAGTGAATAAATCTGGTAGTGGTTTCGATGTTGTGGTGCAGGTGGATTTATGAGATTTTGTTGGATTCAGTCGATTGGTTTTTGGGGTGCTTCTTGTTAGTCATGGTGGTAGTGTTGTTGTGCTGGCATGGATGGTCACAAGTGGCCCTAGTGTTGGTGGTGGTGAACCAATTATTTCGTTATATATGACCAAGTATTAAATCATGAGCTTAAAATTTGATAATTTGTGACTAACAAATTTGAAAATCTGTGATTGATAGTAAATTTTGACCTGTAATTTTTTGATTTGTGACTAATGAAATAAATTGTGATTTATAAAATTTTTAATTTGTAACCTCAAAATAACCTGTAATAAATTAATTTGACAATATGTGCCCAGTAAAAAGGTTGTGACTTATAATTATGTATATGTGATCATTAGCTGTATATTTGTGAACTTATTAAATTTAATTAATAAATATTTTTAATTAATTAACTAAAACTCGAGTTTTGTATTTTGAAATTTGACACCTGTAAATTGAATTTGTCATATTTAACCGTTGACGTTTTGAATTTTTCCCATAATTAAATTACTAAAGGCCCATTATAATTGGGCTCAACATTGTGGAAAATTGTACCAAACATCTTTTTTACATTTTGTAGAAACCAGAACCGAAAACTTTTATTATGGCAAATAGCTGCGAACTGCCGAAGAAACAATTTGGAAGACATTTGGATCAACAACAAAAAAAAAAAAAAAAAAATCATCAATGTAACAAGCGAATGATGATTTTATTTTATTTTATTTTTATTTTATGAAAGACAACCACACTTCTCTAGTGAAATTTTAGGCTCCACCATAGGAGGTGGACAGGGATTAGGATCGAACGACGAAAATTCACGGGTAACTCTATCACCTGCAACAAAATTCACATCAAAATATATTGTGGGGAACTTGTGAATTATTGCAGTATTTTTTTCTCTAATGTTAAATTGAGAAATCAATATAAAATTAATCATTTGAAAGTTTTCTAAATAAGATTAATAAAAAATATTCAGCCTTGTCCAAATGATATTACTTGCTGTTTGATGGCTTTTGACTTATTCAAGATTTTTGTCACTCATCTCTTATAGCTTTGAAACATCACAGTCTAAAGTTTCAAGCATAGATTTATATTTATACATTCAACAATAGTCACCTAAACTATTTAATTTTTTGTTAATTTAAATTTAGTAATTTATGTTTTAAGGTTTACTATGCCCATATGTAAAGAAACTGTCAAATCAAGAATACCAATGGAGCTAACAAGATCTCACGAATATATAACATAGGCCACAAATACAAACTTTTTTGGGTGGTTTTTCACTTTTCTAGGGAAAGTAGCCTCACGGGGTGTGCTTGGGTGTCACTTTATCACAACTTCACTCCAAAAAACAAGTGACATTTCCAAAATCATAAAACAATAACCATCTGACTGTATACTATTACTATTAATTGATAGCCCCATTTCCAGTTGGCCTTTGAATGACATTGAGAATGGTTTCAGTCAAGATTCTTGAATCAATGTCTTGGCCTTTAGCTTCAGCAATGGCTTCCATCCCAAAGAAGTGTTTGCTGGTGACTTTGGCTTCGAGGACATTAAGATTCATTTCTTCGAACGCTTCGATAATTGACACCAACAAATCTTCTCCCTTCTTGCATGTCACCCTCACTACATATTTTGTCCCATTCTTCTCTACTTTCACTTCCTGTTCAATTCAAGCAAATTGCGTATAATCAAAATCCTGACACACGATTAACAAAGACCCACATATGTACTTACAGATGACACGGTTAAATAATACAAACAAGATTTCGACTTCTGTTTTAGTGCTTATTTGAAAAAAAAAAAAAAAAAGGTAAATTTTTTTTGAAAAAGTTGAGGTCAATGTCAACAATTAATTTTAAACACTCATTTCGTGAGACTCTCCACTTTGTCGAATTTTCGACCACATATTTCATTTTTTTTAATCAAAATCTGCTAAGAAACTTCTTTTATCAATATTCCCTACAAACTCAAATTGTGTTTTGTCATATATAATGTACCAAACATTCACTTTGGGCATATTTGGTACATCAGTCCATCAGACACTACCAGACAGGATAACGATGGAGATTTCCTTTAATTATGTGCGACTCTCTATAGTGAGAGAGAGAGAGAGAGAGAGAGAGACTTGGATATGATTTACGAGGTATTGGTATTCTCTTTGGATGGCTTCTACTTGGAGCTTCAACTTGTAGATATAGAGAAAGGCATCCATTATAATGGAACTCTTTTTCACCTTCACAAACAACAAGAAAACAACAATCAAAATCAGACACTTATATTTACCTCAAAAAAGGATCGAAAAACAGAGTTCAAGCACAAGTTATAAACTCGTGTGACTGAGTAATACTGATTTGGAATTTGTAAGAGTTTTCAAAATGCGAAGCTTTCTTGGCAGTGCCATTCTCCTCTGCATTTTGGATGACATCTGTGTCTATCTTCTCTTTGCGTGTATGTGTGTGTTTTCCCCCCAAACTCAAAGCTATATGCATACTATAGCTGCATGCTATTTATAGAGGGGAAAAAGACTGAGGAATTATAATAGTAATGTGCTTTGAAGGTCACGGAATGTCAAGATATGGACTGACATGTTGTCTTATTCTCATGGACATTTAATCTTAAAAGTATCTTGAATTTACAATCACTCATTTACTTGTAATAATATGAATAAAGGCTAATAATCATTTAGCTTAACCTGAAAATATTCACGGTTCGATTTTGTTTTTTTCTTTATTAAAAGGTTACTTTTCAAGAGATGAGTGATTATGATTGATCATGCAGGTTAGAACAACCAAAGTTTTAATAATAATTTTTGAAAAATAAAGCTCTATGGGAAGAAAGATATAATCAATATAATAATTTAGTTGAGTCATGTGATGCAATGGACTCGGCATGATGAAAAGAAGAGATTCTCGTGAAATGCTTGTTTGTTTTCTTATTTAGTCCGCCGTTTGGCTTTCATAAAAAAAGAAAAGATTTTTACTAGATTTTGATGAAAGTTGATGGAATATGTATTTGTGTGTTGACTTTAAATTGAATTTCAATCCACTTTTTTAATGGAATACTATTCATCAATGTGAAATATTGCCGAGCTAAACCACTTAATTGGTTACTTAATCCATCATTTGAGCTGAACGCTCATAGAACTCGTAAGTTTTGTTGTAGGGCTCGACTCAAGAAGGATTATTCTAGACGTTTTGGCCCTGTACACATAGCATCATTCACTCAAGAATATCATTAGTCACTCAAATGCACAATTCTCAAAAGTCTATTTACTCTCTCGTTCCAACTATGATAAGTGTTCCGGGGACATAATTAAAAGTAGTGGAATGCTGTCCAATGCCTAACGCTTACAATTAAAGGAACCATGGTATTGACCGAATTGGCTCAATGCACAAGCAAGGCTTGAAAATAGCAAATTCGCCCACCCTCCTTGTTGGATATTTTGATACCAAATAAATTTGGGACTATGATGATTAGACAGATTGGATTAAAATCATAGGCTTCATTAGGAGCCTATTATTGAAACTATAATTAATAAGTCAACGCAAACCACAATTTGACGATCCAATTATTGGGGACGAGCCAAAATTCCTGTGTGCACGAATAATTATAAGAGTATTATAAAAAATGTCACTTTGTTTGAAAATGCACAAAAAATTTGCATGTGCACCTAATTTTATAAAAAATGTCACTTTTTTTGTGGGAAAAGTCCAACTTACCCTCCATGTCCCCTTTTGAGGAGCATTTAATGCTAGCTTTTCAATCCAATTAATGTTATGATTTGATTAGTTAAATTTATATATTATAATTATGGATATATTAAATTTATATATTATAATCATAGGATATATGTATATTCTATTGTATAATATGAATTTACTTAAAAAAGGATAAAAGAAGCAAAAAAACCCTATTTTAACACCAAACAAATATCTTCTTCAACAAACCCCCATTTCATCCATTTTCTTCATTCATCGATCAGGAAAACATCACTATTTGATTCATCATCCATTTGAGATGTTAGTTATTATGAATTGTTTATATTTTTATCGAATAGCTTACCCGTTTTTCAATATTAAAAATAACATGATCATCAAAGTGAAGAATGCTTTTGAAACTCTTATTAATCATGATACTCTTGATTTTTGAAATATTTTTGAAGAGAAAAGATACAAAAAAGAAATTACAAAAAGATTTAGGCAAATGTTAAGTATTACATACCATATTTAATGAATTATTTAGTCATTTATTTTGGGAAAGAAGTTGTGATGATGTAGTTGTTGTAGTTGAAAATTGATTATAATCATTAATGTTTCCAACAAGGTACCAAACCCGTCTAAAACTTTTCGACAGTTGAACTGTCGAACTCGACATTTAGAAACGTCGAGATAAATAATTTAACTGTTTGGATTCAACCATTCATTTCATCTTTTGTCATTGAATAGATTTAAATATTCAAAAGTGTCACTTTCATGCTATTAAATGTCGACACATTGATTGTGCAAAGTTCTTACCGTTGCAATATCAACTTTTCAGATATTAATAATCATTTGAGATTTATCGTGTGCATGGATGAAAGTTTGTTTATGTGGATGATGAATGAAAGTGGAGAGTGGACAAAACCACTTTCGTTTTAGTTCCGACAAGTATGACCTATACACTCGTTATGGTAGAGTTGACCATAAACGGACCACGTGTTCCAACACCATTCTAACACAACTAATGTAAATATGCTTGATATCTAAAAGTAGTTGAAGTTGTATTTTGAATATTCTCCCGATAGCATTATACATTCTAAAATTATATTATCATTTTATTATTGTTTGCAGATATTAGTCGTGTTTAAGTTCACAAGCAAAATAATTATATAGAGAAAAATTGCCTACCATTCGACAGAAGGATTCTATCATTCTCGACATATGGTTGCGAAGTAGAAAATTTGACCACAAAAAAGAGTATGAGGGACATGCTGTTCTCGAACATATTCTCAACTTTCATTATTATTAGCATTTTAGTATCATTTGCAAACATTACGTAACATCATGACAGTTAAACTATCGGTCCTGACAGGAGGTTTCTGTCATTCTCGATAGTTGGTTGCGAACAGAAAATGTAACTACAAATAAGATACACAAGGGTAAGCTATTGCATAACATTTGGTAAAGACTTTACTATATTTATCCCTGACAAAATTATAATACATAACTTAACAAATTTTCTCGTGCTAATTGAACAATCCAATGAGTATGAGAAACGAGAAATGATAAAAATGTGTCACCACATGTGGATGCAATCACTAAATCATGTTTATAACCACATTCTTGGAGGTAAGCAAAATGAGGTCATTGATTACACAAATCAATTTTAATGTAGTACTAACAAATTTGGTCACACTATTTCTTTATTCTTTTTCTCCTCTCCTTGGTGTATGGAGTCCTAGTAGATGCTGTAGGAAATCGAATGTGTGTTGATCATTGCTCTTTGTACAAGTTGAGGGAACTTTCTTGTTATTCTGGCATGACACTTTGAGCTCTATGGGTCCTTCATCTATTTGAAAACAACATTTGCAATACTAACCGATACGAGTTCATTATTTCTAGTTTGCAAATTACGGAATGAGATGAGAGTATTTAAAATTTTGAATTCCTCATAATTAACACACATACCGTTCGCCTTTTAGTTCTCACTAGGCAATAGACCCTCATGATTATCGGAGTACGGGTTGATGTATCCTCCATCTAATTGAAACACAATAATTACAATACTAATGGACATGAATTCAATATTTCTAGTTTGCATATTACAAAATGAGACGAGTGTATTTAAAATTTTGAATTTTTCAGATGTTAATGCTAAACACACGTATAAGAAATAAAAAAACAAACTATAATGTTCGGGAAATACTATCTTTAACTTCGAGAATGACCGTTTATATCGAAAGATAACTCATCTGTCGAGAATAATTGAAACAAATTGTCCGGGACGACAGTTTATCGCAACAGATGGGTTACATAAATGATTTTTCGAGAAGTTCTTGGGTTGAGAATTCATAACTGTACAAACTTCCATTTTAACAAATTAAACAGTTCGCTTAAAAAATTCGATACCCATGCCTAACCTAGAAAAATATAATAAATAAGGTAGGCTGAAATGACAAGTATAATATAATAACTAGCTTTCACAAACAAAACAAATTCAGAGAAATATGAAGTAAAAAATTGACAAAATGTGAAATAATTTTTTTAGAAAAAATTTAAAAAAAATTCATACATAATACCCAAAAAAAAATTAGAAAAAATAAAAATGCCCAAAAAAATATAAACCCCAAAAAAATGGAGAAATCCAAATTACGTGTAAATGTACACTCTAAACAAAGTTGAACACAAAATAGAGAACAATATAACTCACGGTCTCGATATAGGAAACTCAAAATTGATTGTGCAATCTAAGAGAAAGATAAAAAAAAAAATGAACATTAATAAAAAACTTGAAAAAAAAAACCTTCAATCAATCTAAAAAAACTTATATATTCGAAACCTTACCTACGACATTCTTCTTTCTTTTGTATTGACATAATAAACGGGATCCTAATGTAAGAACTTGCACTTTACATAGTTTTCAAAGAATCAAGAGAGGAAACATAGAAAAGAATAAAAGAGAAAAAAGAAATTTTGCAAATAAACGTACTAGAGACATAAAAATGAATGAGTTAAAAGTTAATAAATTTTGCTCTATATATATTGTAAGGATTTTGAAGTACAATTTTGAGGTGATTGATTGTCACATTTTCTCCACTTTTTGTACAACTTTTTATATTGTCAACTCAATGATATGTAGGGTATTTGAATTTTTAATAGAGGCAAAAATGTCCAAAATTGACAATCTTGAAAAGACTTTTAAAAAGTGACATTTTTGTAAATGCAAAACCAAAAGTTGACTATTTTAGTAATTTCCTCATAATAAAAATAATTATACGTGCAAGGCCACACCCATTAGGTTATTCAACCTATTTTCTTGGTGGTACCTATATATTATGCACTTGGCCTTTGCGTACTATTATTACAATATATATACATGTTTTCTCCTTTGCCTCTTTTTGAGTGATACCAGTTGCCTTATGTGATTTTGATGTTTCGACTGTCTACTGCCACCTCTGTTTCTTTGTAATCATTTATTGTTCTCTCTCCCCCTTGGCAACTGTTCTTGAACCCCCAGCTATCCTTTATGGTACCTTCTTTCGTCCCTATTTGTTGCCTAATTGGAAACCTTTCTACCACCACTTCGCAACCTCGTTTTAGGTGATTCCTTCATGTGGCGTAAGTTTCTTTTGGATAGTCTAGTGTTGGCGTTGCCTTGAGCCCTGTACAATCCACTTTTGTTCACTTCCATTTCAAAAGGGAGTTTAATTCTTACTTTTAATTTAAGTGTTTTTTCTTGTTATGTTATTAATTGATATTGC